AGATTTTATAGAATGTAAGAGTTTAGTTTTGCATTGGACTTCGAAGGACAGATGAATGTGCTTACTTTAAGCTTTAGTGAGGCATTAAGGAAAGGGAAAGCATAAATGAGATGAACGGACACTAGATTATTACCACAGTTGAATGTGAACTGCCGTTCTCATAAACCAGTGCACGCGAACAGCACGGACCTGCAGAGAGAGTAGCGCGCGCTTGCAAAAAGAAACAAAAAGAGCTGATATCAGACTTTATGATCAGTTGGATGAGATCAAACGCTATGCATCGTTCAACAGCTTTTCCTTCCCCCTCACCATCATGCCTGTTACTTTTTACCCTTCTTCCAAGGAGCTGACCCCTCATGCGGCTGTCCAGAGCTCAACTGCTTCTACACTACTCGACATGCATTTCAATGCAAGTGGAAGCCAAAAGCTAAGTGAAGAGCTCCTTCAGTCATCTCTTGACCATGCCTTGTCCGATGGAGTTGTCGTTCACCAAACTAATGGTTTGGTTCATACACTTCTCAAAGCATACAGTGCTCATCATGCTGTGTCCATACGACCAGATGATGTCTGGATTGCAATCCTCACCCAATTCAGCTTCTTCGTCAACGCCAATGCGGAGGAGCTGCGAGACAAGTTTGTCGCCCACGAGGGTCAGAAACATCTCGAAGTTCGTGCGGTCGGCACACGCTACACTGTAGATTTTGGGTCCATGGCTCAGCAGATGACAGGGCTAATTCGGAAGAACGTGAAGGATCCTGCCATCTGCAACTGGATTCGTCCCAACTTCACTACCACAACTGACAACGATATCACTGTCAGTTCGGTGGTTATGATGGCGACGATGAAGAAGTACTTCACGTTTGGCTTCACCCTTTCCTGTGGCATACCTCAGGTTACACTTGAAGGCACCAGCGACGACTGGAAGTTGATTCTTGCCAGAATAGAAGAGCTAAAGAATTACGGCTCGCAAACTACGGCGTGGCTCAACCTTCTCAGGCCAGTCATTTCTCGCTTCGTTTCCGCTTTTGAAGCCCCAGATCATCCGGACAATCTAGCTTTCTGGAGTACAGTCGCCTCAGAAGATCATGAAGGAAGTGGTATGGACTACCTGGGTGGCTGGATGAATGCATTCTGTGTATTCGATGTTGATGGAAAGTGGTTAGGACGAGAGCCAGGGCAGGTAAGGATCTCCTTCTAATGTTGGATGTTTATGCTCACTTTTTTCAAGGAGCTGAAAAACCTCGCTCCAAATCCAATTTTTAAACTCCGTCGCACTGACCAGGGATACGTCAAAGAGCAGGTCGGAGATCGTAACCTCGCACTTGACGGTGTGTCGTACCACAGAGTCAGCCTTAAGAAGATTCCCATCAGCGTCGCTGAAGTGGATGTGGAACTAGACGATAATGGTCTCAAGTTCGACACCAAGATGGTTGCCGGATTGGTGGGGTATCAAGTCGGTGATACCCAGGACCTACAGGGGGCGTTGTTGAAGCCCTTGCCGGGTTGGTGGATGTTTATAAAGCGGAGCCAGGAGGATCTCGATAACGAGATAAAGAGCAGACGTGAAGAACAGCAAAGACAGCGGGATGAAATGATGGCGCGGCTAGATAGGCTGCGCAAAGAACAGCAAAAGTAGATTGAAGAAACCAGCCAGCCTGTGCCTTCCCACAGGCGCGCAGTGGATGAGCCGAATCCGAGTCCGAGTCGTTGAGGATTGAAAGCCTGAGACTGACATAATATTTTAAGCTTTGTATATTGTCGCAATACCAAGCTTCGATCGACGAGAGCGTGGTAAGCTGGATTGTTCCAAAACAATGAAAAAACTACGATACACCATCAGCCATCCCACCCAACAGGCCCTCCCGAGCACGAGTGAGCTTTTGGAGTTCCTGTGTAGCTTGAAGGAGTGAGAGACGTGCGAGGTCGGGATTCTGCGGAGATGTCATTGTCGAAATTCAAGGTATGATCAAGAAGAATAAAGAAGACAGTAAATGGAGCGGTTACGCGTCGGTTTTCAAAGAAGATAAATGGGAATAACACTCACAGCAGGTAGCCCACGAAAAGCCTCGACCTTCTTTCGCTTCTCCCGAATCTTCTTCTCTCTTTGGCGATTCTGCTCCTGCAGACGTGTTAGATCGGAGATGCATAAAGCGTTGTTCGCAGTTTTCAGATCGAGTCGTGCTAATTGAGACTGGTATTCCTTCGCTTTGCGAACGATTCCCTGCCGACGACGCTCAATATTTTCTGCCGTTTCTGAAGCCTTTGATCCGGATTCCTCAGCTGATAGCGAAGACCATTTCTGTATAAGAGCAAGTTCCGATTCTACCTCGGCCAAGTGAGTCTGTAGCTCTTCTTCGACGAAGGCGGCGCGATGAAGAGAAAGTTTGAGATTGAGATGACGAGTAGATAGCTGAGCGAGAGCCTGGATGAAACTATGGGGTCCCGTCTTTCAAAGTGAACGCCCAAAAAAAGACAGCAACGTACATGATTGAAGACGGATCCTCGATCTCCAGTGTCTCTGCAGCTCGTACTAACAATTCAAGCTGATATTCAGTTGAAGAATTTAATTGAACGTCTTGTAGTGCCTTTAATTCATCTATAGCCGATCCTTTGGAGTTCATGAGGACGCGAGCAGATGAACGCGCGAAACAGGTAACGGCGTCTAATCATCATCATCTCTATTCTTCTTGCAAACGTTCTTGGATCACTTACCCCATATAACAACGCTGCTGGCAATCAGAAAATGGTCGATAACTACCGAATGCCATGAATTTTATTGCATTCGAAACGCTCATGTATCACCGCGCAACGTACGGCAGCGATGAGGCGGGTCAACCGAATGGCAGAAATGTCGAGTATAAGTATCTTCAGTACCTTCCAAAACCTCTCTCATTCCCAACATGAAGTCTTCACTTTAGTGCGTATGACCGCTTTCTCCGTCCTGCTACCCAACCTAGAGCCTTCTCCTCATCTGCGCAGCGGGTATAACTCAAGTCGAAACCCTCCAAGTCAACGTATCATCCTCTTGGGAACGCCGATGCCAAATACCCGCTACTTGCCCGCTACAGTCACTCGCGATTCAGATGACGACCCAGAGACATTCGCTGTTGCCTACCTCGAAGACTCCGATCCGAAATTCACAAGCTTTGTCGCTACTCCAACGGATACCAACCTACCGCCTCAAACGGTACTGTTTTCGATTGCGACTCCAGGGTCAGTTACTTCCAAAGGAGTGAATTATGAATATCTCTTGTTCTGTTTTTCCAGGGTCGTTCACCTTGAAGTTACCGACGCTACCGTGACCAAGTCTGAAGTGCTACAAGTAACTCGTTCACTGTAACGAATTCGATCAATCCTTTGCTCAAACTCACCCCCACCAATAACTGCTGTGGAATAACATGAGTACTGGCCGATGACAGCCAGAGCGAATATTGCACTACTCTCAACGTTTCCTACAAGAGGAATCAATCCAAGGAGGGAACCAAACACAGCGGGTGGGTACCGAAAGCAATGTCAAGATATTTCGAGCACCAAAACCTCATTCTCCTTAGAGGATTCGAATATTTTCCAAACTCGGATTCATGGCTCAACGTTGCAGCTCTCGACTCTATAAGTTTATCCCGCTTCCTACTCCCTTCGATTCGGTTTGGAGTTTTCAATCTTTAGTCAATTGTGTGCTGCCAGAACTCGTCACTCTACATGGATATAGTATTATACGGCAGTTGGTACGGCTCTTTTCATTGCACTCATCGTCAGTGAAATCTATCCCTGAACATTACCTTTGACACTAACTCTCAATGGATTAATTTTTGGCCAACGTTCGACTTGGACGACGTTTGACGTTCTGTGATTGCTCCTAACAATCCTTTCCTGTCATCCACTCTAGTGCCTGGATATCATCTATTAGGCTTTCTCCAGTGATGACAGTAAGTAAGGGCCCAGGTCAGCTGGTTGGAGGCTAGATTTTAGTAGGGACTGGCGACAAGGATCCTTCATTTCGCCTGTCCTCCTAAACTCTTGACAGTGCGGTGTTCTGTCGCCGCGGGACATTGCGAGTATAAATTCACTTTGAGCTGAGTTGGCTTTTGCTGCTGGTGTCATGAAACCGTCAAAATGGTATGCGCGTCCTTGACTCCATCCCGCCATTTATACTAAGTAAAGTTTATCAGTATTCGTCTCCTCCTCGCCTTTGGGGTCGGCGTAGCGCAAGTCAGCTCTCTTCATGTGGATGTTCCCGACACCTGGATTCAGCGGTGTCCGATTCCCGCTACCATAACGCGCGATTCAGATTGTGACCCAGAATCTTTCTCACTCTCTTACATCGTAGACGATATCAACGCTGAGGAGTTTATAGCTACTGTGACGGATACGGCGTTGACTCCTCAGACAGTGCTGTTTACGATTGAAACTCCGGGGTGAGTTAATAAGTCTGGAATAATTTTGCCCCGGTGTCGATACTAACTCTTGCGTGTTATGTAGGGTTTTCCACCTGGTAATCGAAGACGCAAGTAGCTCGGTTCTAGCGACCAGCGACCCTTTTACGATGGATTTAGCTATTTCACCTACTTGTCCTCCGACTTGAATGGCCTGTCTCTGATATACGTGAGCTCCTCGGTTCATAATTATCGTGCTTGGTCTAATGCCATTTAGAAATCGAAAGCGGCAAGGACCTGAAGAAACTTTTTGAACTTTGCGCTATAATAGAGTGAAGCATACTTTTATCTGGTTTACAAGGCTTACCCCGTTGTAAATTCTCTGAAATAAATGATTGCAGTCTATTCTTTTCTTTCCCCAAAAAAACCCGGCCGCTCGGATAGTTGGATAAAGACTATTAGGTCTTTCTCCGTACGGACTGAATTTCGAAGTTTACTATTCACTGGGCACCTAGTACGTATACCCTCACTGTAAGATGCTAAGTAAAGTCAAGGAGTCGAACCCCACCTGCAATTGGCTTTATGGCTATCAATATTTTAAACCAAAAATACCTACTACGCGTATATCTCCCTGGCTGGGAGTCGAACCCAGCTTTCGCGCGTGGAAAGGGAAAACAAGGTCATGACAAGCGCGTGTACTAACCGATATACTACCAGGGAAGTCATTGGGTATTTAATCAATCCCTATACAAGCTTCCGATTTCGGCATTTGCCAGGACACTTCCAGAACAGGCAGGCGGGGAAAGGGCGGAGCTTGGCAAGGTCGGGTCTGGTGATCATCTCTGCTCTCTTTCCCAAACCACGAGATCTCTAACCTCTATAGACTTCCCCGAGTCCATCTGACATCCCAAACTCCGGGTTCTTCTATTCTACACGGCCACTAGATTCTCAAGTAGTTGAATTGGAACTAGATCTAGAATTGGAAGGGGTATTGCGTGGCTTTGGAAAGAGGGTCTTGTGCCAAACGAATTCTGTTCACTCAATAGGCGGCGACCTCTTGAACTAGAACTTCCATCTTCCACGAACAAATCCGCTATTCCCTCTGCTAGAAATTGTACAGATTGCGTAGACGATTCATCTGCGAAAAGGATCTCAGTTTTCATCTCGAATTCTGTTCTTTTCTTTCGTGAGTCATTGCTTTCGTCTCGTGCGCGCTTTGTACCCGACGACCAACGACCAACTGCTATTAGGTCGTAGAACGATTTGAAGGAGAATAAGAGCAGGTATCCTCGAGAATTTATTTGGTTATAGTGGTTTCGTGAGCACCGGGTTTCGTTCCTACTTTCAACTCTGTGCTGATGATTGGTAATAATCTATAGCAAATACTTGAGTTGAGGATATAAAAGAAAAGAAGAGAAGGAAGAGAGCAGAATTTTAGAGCTAGACACATTTCAAGGGTAGCTTGACGTCGGCCGCGCTGACAGAGATTGAGTGAGTCCACGTCATCTTTTCCTCTACCGGATCTTTACGAACGACCCTGATTCAGTTAAACGCAAACGCAATGTCCAATCCCCAACCCTCACCTTCACCGAATTCTGCTGAAAATCGACCGAATCGGTTTGATTTGGATACAAAAACACCAGCTTCCAATTCCAACACCACTTCTATGGCTGCTGCTGCTACTACTACTACGGCGCCTTCTCTCCGAGCAGCGTCTCAGCCACCTCGCGCTCTCCACAGTCAAAGTCCTACGACCGCGCCGAGATCCCCTTGGTCTCAATCTCAATCTCAATCTCAATCTCGGTACCTCAGTCCAACACGAACTTCAGGTATCCCAATGCCTTCTTCGACTACCAGCACCAACCAAAATCAAATACGTAGTTCCTCTTTCTCCGGAACAACTCAGTCCTTCTCCGGCGCAGGAGGATACTTTTCTCCAGGTCGATTCGGGTCTACGTTCGAGGACGATGAGTCTTTGTTGGACGAGCCGAGGGATCAATACAGTCAAGACGACGGAGACGATGATGTCGACGTTGATGTAGATGGGATGATAGGTCGGCTCAGACCTTCGTCTCAGTCTCATGGGGGTGATCCGTATGATTATGACGAGTATTCGGATTCACCAGTTTATGCAAGGAGCGGGGTGGGCATAGCTGGTACGGGTGCGAGTGCGGGGCGATATGTCGGAGGAGGGAGGCTACCGCCATCGTTATCTAGCTCGCTGAGTCCTTCGCAGTTGCCTGGTAAGCGGCAGTCGCCTAGACCTCACCCATTCATTCATTCATTCATCCATAGGCACCCTCCCATTAATATCCCCTTCACCACGATCAACTTCTGCTAGTTTCACTCCACACTCGCTTTCTCACTCTATGATGAGCCGGGATGGCGGCGTTGGTACTACTAGCAATAGTCTGAGGAACGACGACGTCCGCGGCCGAACGTACGCTCCAACTTCGGCGGATTTACTTAGTAAAAGTAGAAGCCAGAGTCTCGCAACGAGTACGGTTCATCATGGGCATGGTCATGGTCAAGGAGGAAGACTTGGGATGTATGGATGTGAGTTTTTTTTTTCCAACGTGGTCATGGTCTTTTGTGGATGCAAACCCATTTGTTCTCTCTCCGAGTGATATTCTTGATTGATTGCTCTGCGCTAGTTCCTCCGTTTTCGTGGCTATTCTTTTCTTTCGATTTCGAGGTTTTGGTTTGTGCTTGGCTTTGGATTCCAGTGAATCCTTTGTCTCGTCTCCTGCTTTCCTTTCGTGCTTTCGCAGTGAGAGCGGATTGAGGGGCGTTTGACGATTTCTTTCCATGTATTCTGGATATCCCGAGGATCATGGTCATTCCTCATTCCATTCATTCGTTTCTTTTTTGGTTTGTACTCTACCGTCATCTTCCGTGAATGGTTGGTTTTGTGGTTGTATGTCTCAACTGCTGGCATCGCATTCGGCTTGCATTGCGTCGTTTGAGCTGCCGCGCAGTCAGGATTGAAGGCTGTCAGACGATTTCGCTTTGTTCCATGTAGTATTCTGGTTTCTACCAAGCCATTTGTTCGTTCACATCCATTTCCATCTTCGGTGCCGTTTTCTCCAGTTTCTCATGTGACTTACAACTCCATCTATCTATAAAAGAGGTACACATACTAACTCTTTCCCTTCCCTCTTCCTCTTCCCACTTCTTCAGTACCCACCAACCCCAACAGCGTCATCGGCTACTCACGCGACACCTCCGGTCTCGGCTCAACCATGGCCTCCTGGAACGGAAACGACTCTGATCACACATTTTCTTTATTCCGGGATCGCTTCAACTCGCAATCACAGTCGAGGTCGAGATCGAGGTATTCTGGCGGAGGCAATGAGTACGTGGAATACGGTGAATGGCGGAGGTGAATACGATGAATACGGAATGAATACGAGTTCGAGTATGGAGGAGAATATGGCGAAAAACGTCACCAAGATCGGTCCAACCAGAGTCCGTTTTTGAGGGATGTTGGGTATCGGGATAGGGATGGGAGAGAGAGGGAGTTGACATCACCCCGGGGTATAGGCCTTCGGACGTCTTTGTCTAGAGCATATTCCGGTCCTGGTGCCGCTGGGGGAGCAGTAGTCGGGTCTGTGGGTTCCGTGGGATCGGTAGGATCAGCAGGAGGGTTTGGTAGTGGTCGAGGAAGATTTGGAGGAGCAGGGGGAGGATTCGGGTATAGCACGGATTTGGAAGATATACCGGGCAGCGGAGCGACATCGAGGAGACATAGTGTCTCTGTCGTTCAGCCAGTGGGTGTCAGGGGGTTGGGATTGGGTAGTGCAGGCGCAGGGAATTTGGCGGGGTTGGGGAGTGCGTTGGCGGATGATGAGTATGATTACGATTATGACTATGCGAATAATCGGAGTCGGAGTCAGACTCAGAATCATGGACATGGTGCGATGGCGATGGGCATGCCAGGGATGGGGAGGACCGTATCCATGAGTGGGGGCGTTCAACCTCATGTAGGAATGGGTAGGGGCGTAGGAAGGGGTATGGGCTCTTTGATGCTCACGGATGATGATCTCGAAGGTGCAGCTGCGCCTATGCCTGGTATGGGTATGAGCATGGACACGTTAGCGAGCAACTTTGGTGGCATGAATTTCGGTCACAGGCGCGGGTCGGTGTCTCCAGGGAGTCTGCCGCCTCCCCCGCATGAAGGATTAGGTTCGAGTCCAGGCCACCATCCTACTGATTCGTCAGGCTCGGGAGGACTAGACCAGGACCAGGACCCCACGCTACAGCAGCAGCAACACCAGCAACACCCATCTCTAAACGGATCGATGAGCTACGCCGCTAGAGCGAGAGCGTCGTCAGCGTCGTCAGGCGGACAATTACCACCGTCTCCTACGAATCCGATGAACCGCGGGCTTCCTCCACAAGGGTATTATTCTCAACAGCACCCGCATCCGCAGCAAGCCCCTAACTATCCGCACCCGCACCCGCAGATGGGAATGGGACGCAGGGTGTCGAATGCGAGTGCAGGTGGTGGAGCTCCTCTTGCGCTGGATATGGGGTATGCACAGGCGCAAGGGCAGGGACAAGGTCAAGGTCATCATCCTCTTCACCAGCCTTACCCGAACCAGCAGCATCAATCCCAGCATCAGCATCAGCATCCGCACCAGCACCAACATCAGCATTCGCATTCGCAACCTCACCAATCTCAGCCTCCTCACCCTCACCCCTCTGCACCCGAACAAACTCTCGGCCGCGGTGTACCCCTCTCCGCTGTCCCACCAACCTGGAAACTCTACATCGTCGAGTTCAAAGCTGGCCGCACGGATCTGTTTTATCTCACTGATGCTGTGAGGGCCGATATTGTTAGAAATGAGGGAGGCGCAGTGAATGGGAACGGCCATGCATCAGCAGATGCAGGAGCCGGTACAGAGGGTGATGATTCTTCAGCAGCAGCGTCATCCTCATACCCACTCAAAGTCGGCGACCTCGTCATCGTCGAAGCCGATCGCGGCAGAGACCTAGGTAGAGTGGTCAACGATAATATCACTGTGGAGGAGGTCGAAGCCTGGCTGGATGCTGGAAGGAGTGCATCAGGACAGATAATCAGCGGAGGTAACGGTAATGATTCGCAACAGTCATGGAGCGAATCGTCGCCTATGCCTACACCCATCTCGCCTACAGGAGTATATGCCGGGATATCGATTCCTCCTCCTGGTGCTTCGGGCCTAGGTCTGGGTGGAGCAACCAACCCTCCTTCTGGTGCAGGTGCCAATGCTACAGGTGCACCAAACAAGAAGGAAATCAACCCGAAACAGATTTATGCCAAGGCTGGACCGGCGGAAGCGAGTGTGCTGGCGGCAAAGATGAGCGATGAGCTCAAGGCGTTGCAGTTGTGTCAGAGTAAGGTCAGGGTGAAAAAGTTGCCGATGGAGGTGGTGGATGCCGAATATCAGTGGTATGTGGTTTTTCTGCCTTCGTTCAAGCTGTCTCTTGTGTTCAGTTGCTGATACTAATATTCAGGGACCGACGCAAACTAACGTTCTACTTTGTCGCGGATAAAAGGATTGATTTCAGAGAGCTTGTACGGGAGTTGTTCAGGTACGTCTTTCGTTCCATTCGTTGTGTTTTTTCTCTTCTTGATGCCAATCAATGATCTTAGGCTGTATAAAACGCGTATTTGGATGGCCTCGTTGCAAGGCGGAGGAGGCTTTGAGCAGTGAATTTGCTAGACAAAGAAATGCAAG